TCATAAATAGGATACCTTTAAGGAGTAATTTCCGTGTTCTACCTCTGACTCTTGACTCTTGTTTCTTTCTCTTGGTCCTCCTTTCTTACACGTGCAATTTCCGTTAATCGGGATCACCCGCTGAACCACGACCAAGCCTTCGCTATCCTTCTTCCACGTACGTTGGATCCGAATTTCCCGAAATCGGCGTTATTTGGTCTGTCCGTCTCTCTGTCTACCGTCTTTTATGTGGGCTGGACACGGCCCACGGACGAATTCAAATCAGCCCCCCGCATCATTTCGTTCTCAATACACGGTGAAAATGTGCTGTGGAACGTTGTGGGGACAATCTTGTGGGGTGAGGGGGTGGGGGGGCTGATTTGATCTCGATAGAGACGGGCCCAACCTTTTGAGCTAAATGAAGCAATAGGCTTCTAGAGTGGAGTTTGGGCTTGGGCCCAGCCGCTTTTAATATTTCTTGGCCTCTGTTTTTAGTTTGGGTCATTTGTTAAAACACCCCTATATAGTTTTATAAATTTATTAAAATCTATCATATAGTTTGTGTTTTGTTAAAACATTTTTATAATTTTCAATCAATTTACTTAATCGACCTTCTATTAGATGAAAGTGAAAAACGATAGTTATAACAATAATATTTATTCGGATAAATTTAATAAATAAATAAAAATGTCATTTTTGCCCCTAATAAAACATGGACAACTACTCTATTTTGGAACAAACAACCATTGATCCATACCCTTGAACATTTTTCACTCTGTTTAGGAGTATTTTTTAAATAAACAATCATGAGTCCATGCTTTTAACCATTTTCTAATTAATTTAGGTAATCTTATTACTATTCTAGTAAAATGCAAGGTCGATTAAGTAAATTGTTTTTTTAATGCAATAATTATATTTCATTCAAACTAAGAAACTTGTATGAATGCAGGGAAGTAATCGCAGTATCAAGCAAAAAAGAACAAATACAAATCCTTAGAAAGAACAAAATATAGATTGTGGATAAAGGAAAACATAAAAGAACTTATGCAACTTACATAAGGTGAGACAAAATCACCAACAGAATAAATAATTGAGCGCATCTCCAACCACCAAAAGTGAGTGATAAAAACAGTAGTTACTTGCACCAAGAAACTGGAGCTACTTGGAACTGTAATCACTATAACTGTACCTGTTGGAATTGGAACTATCGGAATTGTCACCGTCTGAACTATAACCATCTGAAACTATAACCATTAGAACTGTAATCATCTAAAATTGTAATTGCCAGTGAAATATGATTTGAAAAAAGCCACCAACGGCGGTGAAAGCCAAATAAGTGATGAAGGCCACCACCCAACACCAAAATCTTCAAGGAAGAGTTAACCTCTTATATCAAAATCCCTACATAAAAGAACAAAAAGGAAAAACAAGATAGGGAGAAGCGGAAGGAGAGAGAGGAGTGAAAGAAAAAGGAGAAGTGGAGAAAAACGGATAAGAGAGGAAGAGAGGGAGAAGAAAATAAGGGGTGACGCAGTGTGGAAGCAATGAATCTGGAAAAATTGGAAGAAGAGAACTTGAAGAAATTCTGAAATTATGAAGTATGAATTGATGAATAATTATGGGAAAATAGCAGTATTTATAATACATTTAGAAATTGTAAAAGAACTAGGAAAGAACATGAATCTTGATCTTGATCTTGATCCTCTTGGGCTGTCTTGATAAGGTCGAACCCTCTTGGAATTCTTGGGCTTGATCTTCCAC